TCAGATGATTCCAAATTACATAGATCCCAAAGCAGGTTCCCAAAAAAAAGTCTATCCCAGGGTTACTTTTTAGAAATTCTTATCAATTAAAAAAGCATAACGAAATTTTTTGCAATAATTATGTTGGCATATTATCCATCCATGGAATCATTGATTGATTTTCAAATTAGTCAACTTGATGTCTTTCCAGTCTTCTATTGGGAGTTTTCAAACATTTAGAAGAGGAGTTTACTGATTAAAATTCCAGATCTTTTGGAAGCTCCACGAAATAATATCTGTTAGCTCAAAAACGATCATTTCTAATAAATTTTTATTATTGGAGATTCCTGGCGCGTATTAGTTTAAAATTATATCATTAGTTTTTTTTACTGGTAAGCATTATTCTCAGTGATAAAGGATTTTCTCAGTGGTAAAGAACATCATCAGTCGTAAAAAAATGGCAAAGATTTACTGTTATTATCATTTTCCGGAATTCATGGTTTGAATTTTAAGCCTTAATATTTGTTTATCGGGATGTATTAGTTATCACAATACACTAGAAGGCAATTTTAAAAAAATCAAAATGCCAGAATAGAAAATAAAAATCAAATTAAAATGGGATCAAGGATGCCGTCAGAACCAAAAAGTCAGAACCTAAAGTCCATTACATAAATCTCGTTTAATTTAGCAGTAAGCAAAGGAGCAGAAGGAAAAGCAGTATACACTTGGAGAGTCTAGACTCCAGTTGGCCTCCATGGTCCAGTACTTCAAAAGCTTCTAAATTTTAACATTACTATCTTCTTTCTTATTTACATAAAATTTCATAGATTTTCTGATACTTTGAAATTTTTTTTCGAATTTCAAAATCCACGAATGACTTAAACTTTAGCATGGATCGTCTCGTCACTCGCATCCAACGACAAAGCCGTTTGAAACAGTTCTCTGATGCATTACTTTTCAACATACTTGGCAACAGTGATTGCAAACCGAAGCAAATTGCCAACGGAGTTTTACGTAACAATTTTTGCACTTAAGTCTTGATTCTAAAATTTTCGAAGTCAAAAAAATTAATTGTTAACTTTATGATATTTGCACGCACTTTTTTGACCGCAGATACTTCATGACGTCTTTAATTGGTGAAACTAATCTTATTACCAAAGATTACTACTATTGCTTGTAATAGTTTTGATGGAAGTATCAATAACTGATGCTCAAGATCAAAAACCAAATCAGTCAGTAGTGTCATTCCGGAGTATTGCGTTTTCCCCAAAGAGTTAAGTTTTTACAATATCTTTTCGATGAACAAGGGATGAGTTCTAATTTCCGGCGCAAATAAATGTATATGACGCAATTCGAACGAACAGGAAAGGATTATCAGCACTATAATTAATAGATTTGATAAATTTTACAACCATATGTTATTCAAAATTAGTTTTAAAAAAAATTATGGCAGCGATACATAAGGGAGTCCTTTTTAGTCTCTACGGACAGTCTTTAACCATTGCTACTTCTTCCATCATCAATTTCTCTGGCATCATCCATTCATTTTTTAAGCAAAGGCTGAAATTTTATGTGAGGAATTTCCCACTCTTCTACATATCGTTATAACATCAAAGTAAGGCTAAAAAATTGTCAAATTCACACAGTTTTCCTAAAAAGCAAATTGTTTGGCAAGGCAATACAAATCTGCGCCTTAATGATTCATTTAACTCTCATTGTTAGATATAACTTAAGTGTCCAGCCTGTGCTATTGAAGCTCCTCTATTCATTGGTACATTTTTATTAGGAAAATGAGAAAGGGAAATTTTTGGTTCGAGGAAATTTTTGGTTTTCTTCATCAGAGAAATATGTTTTGCAGATCAAAGGCAGGAAATTTTTTCCTGGTTAAAAATTAAAAATTTTTTCAGCAATGTAAAGTGACCCATCAAATAAATGATGCTGTCGCCGATTTTCTTCAGTTGTGACAAAAACTTAGGGTTCTTTCTGCCTCCTTAGTTGATAGTACCTCAAACTTGGGTAACTACCTTTTATTACGATAAATTTATTAATACAACGAACTTGCAAATATGACATTGATACAACAAATTAATAACGAATACACAATAACAAAAAGGACAAATCACCCCCGATGCCTTACATCCAGCCGACATCAATGAAACACATTTGTAAAAATGGATTAGTGCTCAGGACCCTCCGCTTCTTCGCCTGGAAGACTCCTTGTACTGTTTTATGATTACAAAAATTAGCTTCCTTATGGAGCACCCATTGGTATTAGGTTCTTTGTTAGAGCAAATGTAAGACGATATGAGCATATAAAACAAAGATGTCTGGCTTTCAAAAGAAAGGGAGATTATTGTCCCTTTGTTTCTACTCGCGATATCAGCGACAGATGCAAACTGTATGTTTTTTCTTTCTTTCACTTCTGGGACTTGAATCTGTTTACAAACTACCATTCTTCATTCTTTCCCGAAATAAACGAATGAAAACGACACATTAATGTAAAATTCCGAACTTTTCATCTTTTTTATGCAATTTCTTGGAGCTTGTTGTACAAATGATTTTGTTTTGAATTTGCACAAAAAATTACTTATTTCAATCATTAAAGTCTTGTAAATTGTTTTTTGTTAATATTATGATATTGTTTGATGAAAAGGAAAAATAAGGTTGCTAGAGTTGGAGGAGTTGTAATTATTGAATAAAATGAGTTGAAAATAATAGCAGTGGTAATAAAGTGAATCATAGTGTGGTTTGAAAATAGTTCCGATCATTTGCGTTGAATTTAAACTCGAAAAGTAGTTACAAAAGTAATTATAGGTGTAGAAAAGCAGAATTGCTTCTAATAAAAATGGAACAACTAATAATAATCGTAATAACAAATTAACTTTTAAGAATAATAAATTACTCAATGAACGAAGATTAAAGCCTAGAAAAGAAGTCCACTCATATCCAAGAAATCTCAGGGACATTAAGCTTATCAATTCTTTCCAGGCTTTCTTCTTCCTCCAACTTGAGAAATAAATGAAACTGTTATTGAGCAATCAACTAAGAGCAAAAGCATAGAAAGTGATTCAATGATTCAAAATTCTTCTTTATCATTTTGCAGTATTCCAACGTGGCGATCAAATTTTTTGCTGGTATTTGCTACTCTCCGGTGAAGTTCAACTTTTCCTCTCCACCGCTGAAGTTAGTTTTTCCTCTCAGTCTCTCATCTTTTTTAAAAAATGAAATATCTTAAAAAGAAAATTTTCACGAATACTTGGATATGACGCATTTACTCATTTTCGTATTTGCATGACATTATAGAATTGAACCGAAAACCTGAAGTATCTATGAATAGATTGTAAGGTTATCAAGTGATGAACTCTCATCCACATTTGAAAAATTTTTTTTTTCAAAATTTCTTGCAAACAAGAAATTTTTTTTCTTCGAAATTTCTTTTGAGCAATAAATAAAAGCAGCAGGCTCATATTAGAGGTTGCCAGACAAAAATAATAAATGTTTGTAATTTTTTCCCATAACACTCTTCGATCTTGTTTTTGGTCTTCATGGAATGGAACTACCCTTGAATAAACATCATTCAAATGTGCTGCAAAATTAGCTTAGACGATATTGTGGAAGTTGAAAAATAAATATCTGAAATGGTTTTAGGTCATCATTTCATCTCTCTTTTGCATATATTACTTAAGTAATTGAAATACCACTGCTTCAGTGTTGTGAGTTTCCTTCTGAGACAATGATGATTATGTCACTTGTCAAGTACATTGTCTCAGTTTAGACAGCTGTGAACTTCGAACTTTCCTCCCTAACTTATGAAATATATGAAAATGAGCCGAAAATTAACGTGATAGATCAGTTGGATGCTTCATTCTGATGGTTACTATGCGCTGGACGTGATCGGTTAAAAGCGTCAGCTAAAGGTCAATATTGCAACCATTTGATAAAGTAAGTGGTTGCAATGCTGACCTTTCTTCAACAGTTAATTTAGCAAGTGGTTGAAATGCTGGCCTTTCTTCAATCCATGTTAACCTTCTCCAATCCATCCGGGACTAAGAACTGGACTTTGTATCAAATAATCGGCGCTTATGTAACTTCATAACTCGTAGACTAAATTAGAGCGCAAAAGGTACATTTTTTTTCGCGTGTCTTGCTCTACCCATCCAACATTACAGATGAACGTAAACTGATCATTCAGTCAGTAAGCAATGATTGATAGCAAGTATCAAATTTTCATTTCAGATCGAGTCCTTCATTAAGATAGTAACAGTCATCGATGAGAATCTATGGTCAATTTCAGGTTTTGCTCCCTCTCTCTCTCTCTC